GATCACTTCTTTTTGTTACAATATTTAATCTATGACAATATCATATGTATTTATCAGTTGAATTTTTTTTTTTAAATGATTAGAAATAAAGATGACTGTTTTTGTAGTTTACGAAAAGCTTTTTTGTGAGTTATGAAAAAATGACTCTTACTTGATTTAATCTATAGATTTGAGGATATTAATTTGTTTAAGGATGTTCGCTACTCTGTTTCAAAATAACAAGCTTTTTAAAAGACTATTTTAAATTGATAGTATATAAATAAAGAAACTAAACGAGCAGAAAAATATGAAGGGTCCGTGTGCTTGTTTTTGAGATATAAGCCTTTGAAAATTTGACGGGAAATAATTCTCTCTAGATTTTTCATACATTTAACATAGGCACCTTTTTTCTTTTAAAAACGATGAAAAAATAACAAGGATTTTATAAGATTTTCAGGGATGACATGTTTAACTATATGTAATCAAATTATGGAAAGAAAAGTAGGGGTTAGTGGGCAAAATTTTTAATGGCACTTAATCGATAAAACCAGAGGATTCAGAATATCTGGCAAAAATTAAAAAAACATGAGGAGCGAACTTCCTTAATACATGATAATTTATTTTCTAATAAATCATTATTACTTAGTTCCCGATTTATTACATTTTGGTAAGAATAGTACATCCAGAGAAACATGGTTTGTATCAATCCAAAAACCAACCTGCTTGGCATTATTGAGGAGTGAATTTTCTGCACAGAAATGTTGACCACATGTGGATCAGGATCTGCTTATATCCTTCTAGAGCATCTCAGTCTTTAGTTTCAATGTTGTGTTTTGTGGACCGTTGTTTGTCTTTTTGTCAAGTTTCGTTTTTTTGTTATGGCGTTGTCAGTTTGTCTTCTACTTATGAGTTTGAATATACCTTTAGAATCTTCAACCTCCCTGGGTAGTGTGTGGGAGGTGGTGGTTTGTGAGAGGACTTTACAATAAACTATAGATTAAGGATTATATCCTTATAAACTGGTTTGTAACTGGTGAAGGAATTGTACAAGAAAGAGACTGCTGGAAGACCTATTTCATAACAAGTCATAAAATAGAAAGGAGGATTAAATAGTGACTTTGTCAAACAAGATTTAAAGTCAATGAGGAATTAAGTTGTGTATCACAATGGGTCATTGTTGTATGGTAGTCAAACTAGAAAAAAATTACATGTCAGCAAGGGCTCTGCTTGCACATTTTTATGTGAGGCAAAGAGACTGATGCATACTAGGTAAATGGTTCATAGGTTTTCAATTTTCATTAATGTTGAAACCAGCAATTAATTCAGGTTGTGTTCATAATTTATATATGTTTTGTTAGAATCCAAGCACTATGACATGTATGTTGGTAGACATTTTCGTAAATTGTTGGCAACCAATAATTTTGACTCAGAAAATCATTTCGTAATAGCAAATGATATCTTTTCATTTAAATCCTAGCAAAAATAATATTCTCAGAATTTATCATTTAAAATAAACTGTTGACACAGAGATACAAAATGTATGTCTCGCCTGTCGGCATAAAATTCAGAAAAAGACAAATTCTGATGGACAACAACATGGTTTATTAATTCAGTCGCTGAACCATTATCTAGTGGGCAGGGCCTGAATATAATCGTCAAACTGATATGTACTGATAGTAATGCAATTTTATACAAAATATCATTGATCTATCAAACTGACTTAAGCAGAAAAACTCAACATTGAACATTGCTCATTAATTCAAAGTCACTGGACCATGTCCTAAGGGGCAGGGCCTTAAAATAGTCATCAAACTGATATGTACAGATAGTAATGCGACTTCATACAAAATAACATTGATCTATCACAAGCAGATCCTATCAAACTAACTTAAGCAGAAAACTTAACATTGAAAATTGCTAATTAATTCAAAGTCACTGGACCATGACCCAGGGGGCAAGGCCTCGAAATAGTCATCAAACTGATATGTGCTGAAAGTAATGCAACTTTTTATTAAATATCAATGATCTATCACAAGTAGTTCCTATCAAACTAACTTCAGCAGAATACTGAACAATTGTTGACGCAGTCGCCACAGCCGTTGCTGGAAAAGCAATCCCTATCTCTCGCTTTCCACGACTTTGGTCGTAGGCGAAACAAAAACTAAGCTTTTAACATAATTTTGACTTGAGGAAACAATTTGGAATGCATATTATGCTTATATTATATATCATTTGTTTATGACATCCTACTACAAGAAGATGCTTATAAAAATTTGTGATTTTTTTACAAAAAGTAAGTTTTTACCTTTTTTTTTTAAATTTTCAACCACTTTGAAATAACTTAAAATACACCTGTTTATTAGTTTTTCGTTTTAATCATCATATCCTTATACAAAGACATTTCTAAAAATTTGTGATTTTTTTTTTTAACAAAAACGACGTTTTTTCCAAAACTAATAAGGTTAACTTCACCAAAATATAATATACACATGTACATTTTATGCATAACAACTGTGCAAAATTTCAGTGGCCTTCTACCTATTCTTATGGAGTTTTTGCGTTTACAAGACATTTCTCAAAATTGGTGATTTTTAAAGAGAACAGTTTTTTCCATAATTAATGAGCCAAATTTCACCAAACTATAATATGCACATCTGCATATTATGCATAACAACTGTGCAAAATTTCATTGGCCTCCTACCTATACTCTTGGGAGTGTTTGCTTTTACAAAAATTGTGGACGGACAGACAGACAGACAGAAGGACAAAGACGGCCAAAGTTACAAGTCTTCTGAGAGTATTGCATGGCAATAAATAGTCCCATACCGGTTAAAAATTCATTTTACTGGAACAAAATGCTACCTTATCTATAACTTGTCATGGTGTAAACTATATAACAAATAACAAGTCAATATCTTCAAACAAAAAGTGTGGAAAACTGATTATTTTGAGTGAATTTTCTTAGTCCAAGGACCATAACTCTGCACAAAATCATCAGACCGGACCAAAATTCGAACTTGAACTGTAACTTTTCATGATAAAACTACATACTTATTATCAAATCAATATCTTTAAGCATGACGAAAAAAGTGTGGAGAACTGATTATTTGATTTTCTAAGTCCAAGGACCATAACTCTACACAAAATCATCAGACCATAACAAAATTCGAACTTGATCTGTAACTTGTCAAGATAAAACTATATGCCAAATATAAAATTCATATCTTCAAGCATGAAGAAAAAAAATGTGGAAAACTGATTTACTGGACTGACAAACAGACAGACAGATAGACGGACAGAGTGCAAACCTAAAGTCCCCTTCGACTTCGTCGGTAGGGGACTAAAAACTATAAGGCTTTCCAAATCTTCAATGCGGGTTCCTAAAAATAAGGGAAAAGGTCCATATCTCCCATAAAAATCAAAATCACTGTATTATATGGTCAACAACATATGATAGCAAACAATCCCCATCAAGTATGAGAACTTTCTGTCAAATGGTCTCAAAGGAGTTGATTTCACAAGGTTTCATTGTTTCAATACGAAAAAAAATGGTCAAAGTCCAATAACTATTGGAAAAATTGTCCATTCAACCAACCTGACGACATAGCACAGCCAAGAGAATCTTTTTTGTTGATCTTGTATTGCTGATCATTATGTCATTTAATTTCACTCTATCTACTCTAGTTTTTGCCAAAAACACAAAATGGGTAAAATCATCATTCCATGACAGTAACTCCTATAAGAAGTGGACTGACAATTTTGGCTTTATTGACCTATTTGTAGATAGGTCTTGCTGATAATTTTTATTGTTCAAATTATCTCTATCTTTTACAGTCTTTGCCCAAATATCACAAGAGTAAAAATTGTCATTCAAGAGCAATAACTGCTATAAGGAGATGTATGGTCATTTCAGCAATGTTGACTTATTTGTAGATCTTGTCTTGCTGATAGTTTTTGTTATTAAGAGATAATTTAAATTTCATTGTTTTCAAGATATGCAATTTGAGAAAAAAATTGGCAAAATTCATCACTTGGCTATAACTCCCAAAAGATTTGATGTTTACAGGCAGTAGGCAGATCTCAATCATATTTTCTATATCTATAGCAGTTTTCAAGATAATAGTCAAAACTTACATTTAACTAATGTTCTATCTTTAGTTGTGTCAGCCTCGTGGTTGGCAGGCAGAATCACTGGACACAATTTTAAACAAGATACCCCAATGATGATTGTGAACAAGTTTGATTCCAATAGGCCCTTTTTTTCTTAAAGTTAATGGTGGAGAGCAATGATGGATGCCAAGTGATGAGAATAGCTCATTTGACCCTTGGTGTCAGGAGAACTACCGTAATAAGATGTGATATGATTGCCAGGAGACAACTATCCACCAAATCCAAATGACTTTGATTTAAGCATATATATGTGAACAATTTTGTGTACTATATGTTGGTGTGGTGTACTACATGTACTAATTGCATCTTTTATTTTTTCTCATTGGAGAGCATGATGGAATCAAGTGACTAGAAAAAGCTGTGTTTGGTGAGGTGATGATATATAGAGGTAAATAAATTAGATAAGATATAGGATTATAGTTTATTCCATGAGGTACTATTGCCATTGAGAAAAATATTCAGCTGAGTCCAGATGATTTCGATTTAAGCTTATATTTGTGAACAGTTTTGTGTACTATATATTGGTGTGGTGTACTGCTAATTGCTACTATTATTTATTCTCATTGGAGAGCATAACTGAATCAGTGAATGTCAATAGCCGTATCTTTCCTGAGGTGAACTGTAACCATCTGTAAACTGTAAACCAAAATATTTTCATGAATATTTCATTTCTAGACGGCTATGCTGCGATTTATTTTTCACAATTTTGTAATTTTCTTGCTGTATTTATATCAGGGAAGTTTCAAGTTTTACATGTATACAGCAATTTATAGTTGCGTTATTTTTCTACTTGCGAAAATCATGAACGCAAGTTGGTTTACAGTATATAGAGGTAAATAAATTAGATAAGATATAGGATTATAGTTTATTCCATGAGGTAGTTGTAGACTTAATATATATATATATATATACACAACCAACAGACATAAATAAAACTAGCTCATACAATAGAGTATTAAAAACCATAGGTCAAATATTCTTAAATTTCATTCTTGAAAATATAATTGAATACAATTTTAGAATGTCACAGATTGCCCCAGTATAGTAGAGATAACAATATTCTAAAAGGGTCAATGTTCAAATGCTTTCCTTCCTTTTTTTAACTTGCCTATGATTCAAATTTATCTATAACATGTACATAAAAGGTTCTGGAAATTTATTTATCTAGCATACATTTTAAAATATCCAAACATTTATGTGAATTCATTATCAAAATATTCTGAATGATGCTATAGTTGCTTCTTAAAAACATCAATTTAGAAGAAAAATCTGAAGGTTGCTTATAAAAAAAAACACTTTAATTTTAATTTCTTTTTTTGAGCAGATCTAGATGAAAACAGTATTATTAAGGTTATACTCTTTACAGGCATTCTCTGGAAAGGAGAAGGTATGATGAAACCAGTATTTGACCCCTGAAATTGCAAAAATTGTAAAATTTCGCAATTCTTTAAAAATTACATTAATTACTTCATTATACCTTCTCCTTTGGTATGAACATGATGTTGTGGAAAAGTTTTCTGTAAAATTGCATTTTTTTACAAATGGTGATGGGACATAATGGAGAAAGACAAATGGCGATCATTATTATCTTGAAAGATTGGTTTTATTTCAGATTAAATTTTTCTATAAATGACAATAATTTAAGAAATCTTTTTGAGGAAATGTCAACAATTCTTTAATAAACAAAAGCTAATATATCTAAAATCAATTTTTTTTTCAAAATTTGTAATTCATCTTGCAACAATAGCATTTTGTTTTTCGAAAGGGAATTTCATATTTTAAATGCAATGCATTTGATTATGAATATTACTTTAAATTTCAGGAAGAATCATATCCATCAAAAATTTACAAAACATTTTGTCTAACAGGAAGACCTAAGCACAAACTGAAAAAATATCTAAATCAGCTCTTAAAAAAATTAAAGCTGTAACTGTGAAAGTGTAATAATCTCTGAAGTAAACAGCTTTTTTTTTTAGAACTCGTTCAACACTTGAAAAGTAAGAAAAGAAGTTTTCATCTACATATCAAAAATCTTGAAATCATACTTTATTACTATCACATTCCTTTTTTCATTACAATTTCAGCTTTTTGCTTAGCACTGGAAACATATTTTCAATGATATCTGATAAAACATCATGTACAAGTATAATCTGCAATGTTTTTGTTGTAAGATGGAGTATAATAGCTAATATTGAAATGCAGACAAAACAAGCATGCTATTAAAATTTTTATTGCCCAATATAGACCAAAATGTAAATAAGAACTGTATGATGCTTTTATTGAAGCTTGAAAGTTGATAATAAATCTTTTTCAACTTTTTGTAGTGATTAAACTTTTCACTTTTAAACTGAAAAAATATTTTTTCTGACATTTACAATAGTAAATAAGCATGTACACATTTTTTTTCTCAAAATTAATAGTAGCTGCTTTACAAGGAACTTCCATTCTGTAATAAAATAAAGTCTAAACAATTCCATCCAAACCAATGTCGCCACAAGACAAAAGTCTTAATATCACCAACTAAACTTTTACATTTTAATACTTTTAGTACATAATTTATCATATCACAAACAACTCAACTTTCACATTTAATGTTAAATTTTAGTACATAAATCATAGCACTAAAAAATGTTTATACATTACAACTTAATTACTTAAATGTATAGATAGTCCAGTGAATTTAAGTAAAAAATGTTCACATATTACAGCTAAACATTTGAGAGTAGATAGAACTCTGAATTGAAGTAAAAAATGTTTACACTTTACAGCTAATCTATTTTAGTGTGTTGATAGTAAACTGAATTTTAGCAAAAAATTGTTCATATTACAGCTAATTTATCTGAGAGTGTAGATAGTACACTGAATTTTAGTATAAAAAAAAATTTGCTATCAAATGCCACTTATTGAAAATATTTTCTGTTACTGTTAAAAAAAAATCAAACACATTTCACATAAGACATTTTCAAATATTTGGAAAAAAAAACAGTCATTAATAGCACATGTATCAAAATGACATTTCTTAAGGGACTGCCAAACAGTTTGATTGTAAAATATTCCCTTGTTTATTTTTTAACATTTATTCTTAAAAAAAATCTACATTTCTATTGTACAGGTTTTTGTCTTTTCTTAAAATGGAGTCACAAAATTACAAACATATATCAGTTAAAAAGGAAGATATTGTTTTGTTTGAAAATAGCAGTCTGTTTCAACAGGAAGCTTAACATTCACTGAACTGTTACAAAAACATTTGGTTGACATAGAACGAATTATCTCCCTTTGTTGGATATGTACCCCCTTAATATTTCAATCAAATATAACTTGTTCTCTAAATATCATAAAATATCACAGATATTCCTTAGTTTTGCACATAACTCAGTTACAAGACACAAAGTTACTAAATACAGTGATTGAACAAGTCCCTTTCTACAAGTACAAATTCTCATTAGGCCGACCATATTTATTTACTGTAGATTCATTACAAACTTTTGTGGATTGTGGAAAAATATATTTTTATGGTTTATACATTCTCGATACTGGCCTATAGAAAATTGGGATTTCCTTGAACACTTAAATTCATGGTCCCACAAAATCCCGAAAAAATGAAAACCCACATATAATAACGAATCCACAGTAAGTTTTCTTTTAGTGAGACAAATTCATGCATTTTTTCAAATGAGAATTGCGCAAATTTCCTTTTAAAATCTGAACTTTTCTGAATGGTAAAAAAAATTTCTAATTTCACTAAAAGTTCCAGGTTCTAATTGTAAATTATTTTTAACATTGTACATTTTCAATTCTGAACAAAAAAAATATGTAAAAAAAAAATCCAAATTTAAAATAATAATACAGCCACATTTGTGATATGAAAATAAAACCTGAGATTTTCATAGAAAAACAATTACTTGTGTGTGTGAGCATATATACTGTAAATCTGACAAATATTTTATTCTCTTTTTATATAAGTATCAAATTCATTTGAATATGCAAATATTCTTTATTTTACATATGAAAAATCTTTTGCATCAATTGCTCGCATACACAGTCAAGATGAATGTATAATAATGATAGTAATAGTAATCTGGGATAAATAATCTCTCTGCAACGAGGAAGTAAAAACTGGAGATTTTTTTCCCTCCCTGAAACAGATTCAAATGTTACCATTCTGTTGTTGGGAAGAATCTATCCTTCAAATGTATACGACAACAATGGTTGTCAGTTCACAAATGCAAAACATTAGTCTGTGAACATAATTATCACTTTGCTTAGATATACCATAAGGTAATCCATCTCACGACTGTTATCAATATCTGTTAGAATAAATCTGACAACTGCAAGATTACCCAGAATTCCTTGGAAGAAATGTACTAACACTAACAGCAGAATTTTGATTACGTCATGGTATACAAACATTTTCTGTTCTATCCAACATTTCTATTATTAATGGCGGTAATTCATCAGGCATTTCCAATCGTAAATGTAATACTCTTTCAGCACCTGTAAATGAAGACAGACAAAATATATTAGAGATACATTAATATTTTTTTTCAAGTAAAATTGATATGGTTTCCGAGTTACCACAGGAAGATTCAAAAGCCACTCAATTTTTCTAGTAAAGTAGAAAAAATTTCTGAGAAGCCACAAGATGTTTCTGAATATGCATAATAAGAATTGTCATTAAAGAACTGCTTTGAAGTCATCGTCATATTTAAGAAAGTATCTTTCTTCCTCAGGTGTAATTTTTCAGTTTTATCTTAAATGATGTCTCCTTAATATATCTAACATTTTCTCTATTCATAGAGGAATTATATCAAATAATCTCCCTTTGTTATAAGATGTCTAGAATTTCATCAACAAATACATAATTTAAATCCTAAATATATACAGGGCCAACAATTACTTTAGATTAATTTATTTAGTTGCTACCCATTTTCATGGAATGAAGAAAAAATTTGTAAGGGTTCCGCGGAATCCAGTGTCTCGCCTACTTTTGCTGTTAATCGCAGGATCAACAAAAATGAGATGAGGAAAAAATTTAATAAAAATATTCCTCTCGATACAATTTTTTTATTGTAAGGAGCTTCTGTCCAAGTTTGGTAAAAATCCAGGATAGTTTATGAATCTAATAAATGTTTTAAAAAATTTAACTGCAGACTGTATCTAATGTTAACTGGAAGAAAAACTAAGTCCATTTATAAGCAAAATATGGATAAACAAGTACAAAATTTTAATAAAAATTTCCTTCTAGATACTAGCTTTTGATCATAAACAAACTTCTGTCCATGTTTGGTACAAATCCAGGATAGTTTAAGAAAATTATTAAAATTTTAAAAACTTTAACCACAGAGTGAATGTAATGTTTCCTGGCAGAAAAACTAAGTCCATTTATAAGTAAAATACGGAAAAACAGGAATTATTTTTTACAAAATTTACTTCTGGATACTATCTTATGATCATAAACAAGCTTCTGTCCAAGTTTGGTAGAAATCCAGGATAGTTTAAGAAAGTTATTAAAATTTCAAAAACTTTAACCAGAGTGAATATTTGTGGACCCCGCCGATGATGAAGACGCCGACGGAATGTAGGATCGCTGTCTCGCTTTTTCGACAAAAGTCAAAGGCTCGACAAAAATGTAATTTAATATTAGAATTTGTAGTTTCACCAAAGTGTTTATAAACCTTTTGAAAATGTATACGTCATTGAACATTTTCATTCCTATACCTATACCCACTAAATGAAAAGATAAAGACCTGAGATCAGTTAACAGTAATACCCACCTTTCACACTTATAGACCTGAGATCAGTTAATTTCATTATCATTTTAGCAAACACATGAGGCGATTCTTTCCGCCGTTGTCGGATATAATGTTTTAATGCTTCTAATATAGGTTCTTGTAAATGTTCTATTTTTACTGGATCTTCTAAACCTGAGCGATCTGAAATAAAGACAAAAGAATGATCATGAAATAAAGATAAAAGTTTTTTATTAGTTGTTAATTGCTTTGAACTGGCTTTCAGTAACTGTGAGTACTCTCAGATTATTGGTACTTGGTGTTTTAAGTCTTTTTGTATATTGCTTTTTTTGTGCGCTTTGTGTATATCTGATGAGCCAGCCTTTTTCAACTGATTTTTATATAAAAATAAAGAGATGTGGTATGATTGCCAATGAGACAACTCTCCATTAGAGACCAACTTACATAGAAGTGAACAACTATAAGTCACTGTACGGCCTTCAACAATGAGCAAAACCCATACCGCATAGTCAGCCATAATAGTTTGTTCTTATGTTGTGCTGTTAACTACTGTCCAAAGTCAGGAGCCTGTTTTTCAGTGGTTGTGGTTTGCTGCTGTGTATCATATTTGTTTTTTGTTTGTTTTGTAGATAAATTAGGCCATTAGTTTTCTTGTTTAAATTGTTTACATTTGTCATTTCATGTTCTTTTACAGCTTGCTATGCAGCATGGGTTTTGTTCATTGTTGAAGATCGTACTGTGACCAGTAGCTACTAACTTTTGTGTCATTTGGTCTCAGGTAGAAAGTTGTCTCATTGGCAATCAAAGTTAACAAAAAAAATTTTCTCACTTTTACTACCAACCTGAAATGAATGAAACTCATATGGACAACCAATTACCCATAAGGCATTAAATTCTATGACAGCAACTTACACCAAAGCAATGCTATCCATCATTAAGATAATTCTAAACAATAAACTCACCATTACTAACTAAACACACAGCAGACAGAGCTGCATATTCTAAACTATCTGTTTCCATGGATTTGAGGGAAGATGCAAATGAAAATATAGTGTCAGTGAGCGAACCGAATCCGCCATTACGTAACTGTTGACGATCTAATGTTATTCCATCGTTAAAAGACAAAACATCTTTGTCAACATCATATCTAGAACTAAGCCGTAATATCTGCAAAAGGGAACAAATAAATTATAATTAATGTGATCTAACATTCTGCAAAAGCAAACAAATATTTTCTAATTAATGTGCCCTAATGTTATTCCATTATTTAAACACAAAACATCTTTGTCAACATCCTATCTGGAACTAAGTCGTAATACTTGCAAAAGTGAACAAATATTTTATAAGTAACCTCATTTTAAAGAAGGAAAAATGTAAATGAACCTAATAAAAGATGACTGATTGATTCCAATGGCAAATATTTCATGAATTTTCCCGACCCATGACAGAAAATGTCCAACAAGATATGCCTTATATATTTCAGTCAATTTGATCCTGATCCATTATCTATATTACAGCTGCAGCTATCAAATTTTCACAGCATATTTATTTTTTGTCTTGATTGGCATTACTTATTATTATTATTGAAATTGCTCAGAAAAAATTAAGAGAACAACCTGTATTTTGTTGAAGACCGTATGTTGCCCTCTCCACATCTTTTAGTTTTTGAATTGCTGTCTCATTATTTAAAGAAATTCTTCAAATCTCCTTTTATTTTCAAGAGCAAATTACAAAAATATGAAAAAATTATGATGGAATCATCTCTGTTATATGACTGATTGCAAGTAGAGATCAGAAAAATGTGTAGTGTTCTGTGGAACTCTGAGCTGTCAGTGTAAAAGTGTTATGTTAAACAACCAGTGGCAAATATCATATGCATATTAGGACCAAAATATGTTAATGAGATATCAATACATGTATGAACTCCTTTTTGAAATAGAAGGACAAGTTGAGTTGGAATTTTAACAGGATAATTCACAAGGAAACAGGAAGACATGTTGCCCATGACCTCAAACCATTGAGGCCAGTTAGCTACAAATCCACCAATGTAGTTGTGAAATACAGGAAAATGATAAACAAAATTAAAATAAAAGAAGAATGTGTCTAAGGACAAGAATTCCCCCGCTCAATCTTCAAACAAATGAAAATGGGATGGACGGACAGAAAGACGGAAGAACGTAAGGTCAAGGGTAACACTTAATGCCCCCTTGCCTATGGCGGGGGCATTAAAAATTTGCCTCGAGTGCTATGATGCTATCTCTTGATTATGAAGAAGCTTCTATCAAAGAATCGTAAAATTCGATGAAGCTTGACAGAGTTATTCAAGTTATAAAATAGTTGACCACAGACTATACCTAAATGTTGACTGCAAAAAAAGTCCATTTGATAGTTTAATACTAATGTCTATAATACTTTACCACAGACTATCTAAATGTTAACTGCAAAATAATTTAGGTCAACTTATTGGTAAAATATAAAATTTTGTCCCAGATCCTATATTATGACCATGAAGAAGCCTCTGTCCAAGTTACCTGAAATTCCATGAAAGTTTGACAAAGTTGATAAAATTTAAATTCAGACTGAACCTCAAAAGTTGCAAAGCCAATAAAGTGGGAATCTATTATTTCTAGGTATAGCCTTTGCTGGTCAAATTTTACTCTTTAGAAGCAAGAATCACTAATGGGTCTTTTTGTGATAATTTTTTTGCCTGGTATTATTTGTTCACTTCTCTATTTTCAAATATAGTCTAGATTTTTCTGAGTGACTGACATTTGTATTTTTTCTTTCTAAACTTTCATAAAGGGGGGTGTGTCTTTCTATTGCAGTCATTTAAATATTCATAAAACTTAACATGATACAATTTAGAGAGAGATAAACATGTCATACCTGCCAACTTTTGAAAATCTCTGTGGGGGATTTTAAGCACGACAGGACCTTGTGCTCCTCTCATATTGTCATACGTGTTCTTATTCTACTACTGTATTGTTTGAATGAGTATATATGTGCTTAAATACCCTTTCAACTCATTTGAATCCATGTTTTAAGGTTTTAAGTTTATATAATAAAGAATTTTTAATATTCAGGTCAAAACCTCTCATTGGGGATATCCCCCATAAATCGGGATAGTTGACAGGTCTGAATTGAGTTTTCATAATTGCTTTTTTTTATGAAAGAATTGAATCATGACCCTTGTATCAATGATCAACCAGTATCACTAGGTGATTGTTGTTCAACCATATTCTTACCATGATTTCCAGACAAGCTGCCTTAAGTAACGTGATTTGATCTGAGGTAGATAACGTTGCAAAACCTGGTACCCTTTTAGCAAATTCTACAATTTTTATAATTCCTTTCGAAGACAGTTCTGTTACTTTTTCCCATAACATAATCTTTTCTATCTTCCCTTTCTCTTCTTCCTAAAAATAAATTAATAGTAATGATTATTTACATAATGTAATGTTAGAATTAATGATAACATAGGCTAAGCATGATTTATCCATACTTTATACATCAATCAACAAATGAGATGTGTCGGATAGAAATCAACCTTATGCAAATGAATATCAATACATCTGTTAACCTATTTCAGGTTGAGAAAATCTCTACAGAAAGTATGTAACTGTTTTGTAACTGTTTGAAAATTTGGTTGTTATAAGAACCTTACAAAACAGACCAAAATTCACCTTTTATTTCATATTGGAGTGTTCCAAAATCAATCAAGGTCTTATACATGTACATGTATACGTGTACTTGCATAAGGTTGATTTCTATCTACCCAGCTCAATTATGACATGCATATAAGTAGATGTGGGAGAGAAGGAAAGACTTTCAAACATCCATCATACTTTTTGAGTTATTTTGCATATATATCAAATGGATATACAACAGTAAATGACCTAACACAAATGTTCAAAACTAAAACCTCCCTCCCTACCATCCCACATTAATTTTTCTGGAATTTTTAACGGTTTTCACCTATGAAGCAGGATCTGCTAATCCTTCAAGAGCAACTGAGATCAACTCGAATGTTGGTGGACTTTTTATTGCTCAGTCTTGAGTTTTTTATGTAATGTTCTGTAGAAAGTTTTTTTTGTCCTGGTCTTGTTTTAAAAACCAGAAGTCCACATCCTTTTAAACAGCAATAATCACGATAATGTGGTCTATGGTTCAAATATATAAAACTAGAACAGTTAAAGTGACGCCACCAAAATTCTAACTGGATCTGTGTTTTGTGGTAATAAGCATTGTGTATAAGTTTCATAACATTTGGTTCAGGCAAACTTAAGTTAGAGAACGGAAACTAAATATTTTGCAATTTTTCCATTTATAAAGGGGCATAACTCTAGAACGGTTAAAGTGACGCCACCAAAATTCAAACTTGATCTGTGTTTTGTGGTAATAAGCATTGTGTATAAGTTTCATAACATTTGGTTGAGGCAAACTCAAGTTACAGAACGGAAACCAATTTTGGGACATACGGACGTACGGACGTACGTACGTACAGACGGACAAGGGTAAAACTTAATGCCCCCACCGCTACGTCGGGGGCATAAAAATATTTATCAATGATCTCATCCTTATTTTTTTCCACAAGTAAAAAAAAACTTACAGATTCCTCAGATTTCTTTAAATTCAGAAATTATTGTGTGAATCTATTACTGTGATTTTTGAAGAAAGAACAAAAAAGCAATATTTATTTTTGCTATTTTAAGAAAATCTGCATACACCTATATGTATCAGATATCAGATTGCGAGTTCTTATTATTGCGATTATCACCCAGTTGCATTATTCGCAATAATAAAAACCTCACAATAATTTCTGAATTTACAGTATATATAGCTTGGAAATTTAAATTTATGTTTGTATTCAATATTTTTCACAAAATCTGTGTAGGTAGATAGAATTGATTGATCGATTGATTGTTGTTTATTTAATTTTAAGTGTCGAAGGAAATGACAAATTCCCATAAGCTGTACCATATAATAAGTACTGTGAATTCATTAATTTTCGTGGATACCAATTTTTATCGATTAAAGAAAAAATGTATTTTCCTAGCTATTTCAATTCTTTAATTTTAAGTCTGCATATAAGCCTGTCGAAAAATTTCACTCATGGAACATATAAATTCTTTGTTTACATATATCCACGAAATATATTGAATCCACAGTATTTCTTTTAAAACAAAATTTCAAGTTAATATTACTTCTTTGTTTTCCGCTTTTTCAGCGTCCACACCATTTGTCTTGATTTTAGGTACCCTTGACAGCGTTGTCTCTGACTGTTTATGGAATGTGTCATTATGGGCATCCAGGATCTCCTGTAACATCAGCTGTTCATCCTCCGTCAGCTCTTCAGACTGGGTACATTCTTCTGGTCGCTTCACTTTCTTCTTGTTTCTGTCATTTCTTACAGCTGTTGATTAGAAAATAGTTTTAAAATGACAATACACTGATATTTGTCTATAAAATCAATTTAATCGCTATTTTCTCAAATTTTGCTTTGATCTTTTTGTGTGATAATTTTCCATCTCTATAAACTTATCAGAGAATGGCTATTCTCATTTAAGTAGAATATCATACCCAAAATTTGTGTTTTCTCAAGACCTAGACAAAGGCAACTTTGGTCTTGGAGAACATGATTTATTTATTAGTTGTTAATGGCTTTGAACTTGCTTTTAGTAACTGCACGTACATGTAGATTGGCAATTTGTGTCTATTGTGTTTCGTGCTAATTTCATGAGTCAAGTCTTTTCTAACTGGTTTTTACAGTTTGTTCTTATGTTGTGTTGTTATACCATTGTCCCTGGATAGGGAATTGTTGAGCACTCATAAACATTTTTAACCCTGCCACATTCTTCATGTGCCTGCCCTAAGTCAGGAGCCTGTAAGTGGTTGAAGTTGGTTGCTGATTTTCATATTCATTTTTTGTAAAATGTTTTGTCATAAATCAGATCTTTGGCTTTTTCATTTGCATCGTTTCACATTTAGTCAAATCAGGGCCTTTTATAGATTACTATAGGTATTGGTTTTGCTCATTGTTGAAGATTGCATGGTGACCTTAAATTGCTGAAATCTGTATGATTTGGACTCCAATGAATAGTTATCTCATTGGCAATCATTCCACATCTCCTTACTTAATACATGTATTGAATGGGGCAATAAACCAATAAAAATGGACAAAATGTAAGCTCTTTTCAAATGATTTTTATAGTTTGTTCTTATGTGGCACTGTTACACCACTGTCCCAGGTTAGGGGAGAGTCTGGCAGGGCAAACATGTGTTTAACCCACTTGCTATGTGGTATGGGTTTTGCTCATTATTGAAGGCTGTATAGTGACCTATAGTTGTTAACATCTATGTCATTTGTTCTCTGATGGAGAGTTGTTACATTGACAATCATATGACACCTTCTTATTCTAAGATATTTAATATAAGAATTATAATAATTCTTATATGAAATATCTTTTTAAAAATTCAGACACAACATTGCCATGTGAAAATGAACTTTGCCATCATAAGACCCCAAGTTGTGACTCAGATGATAAAATAGACAGGAAGACTACAATGAAAAGGTAAGACAACAGGAAAAACAACACAAAAGCATCAATTTGTCTTTTCAACAGAGCTACCATTCATGCTATGAGGCAGCTTAAAGTCCTGTCAGGAGCAAATAATGAAGTGGTTGTCAACGGTTGCTTTCTGTTGAATCTGATTATCATTTATTGTTTTGTCATAAATCAGGCTATAGCTTTTCTTGTCCTAATTGTCTTAAATTTTATATGTCATGTCTGTGCCTTTAAGGGCAGACTATTCCATATTGGTTTTACTTGTTGTTGAAGGCTGTAGAATGACCAATAATTGCGTAAATTCAAATAATTTAGACTCTGGTGGAAAGGAGTCTCATTGGCAGTCATACCACGCCTCCTTATTTCATATTATGTAGCCAGCTAACTGTTCATGTATTACATGTGTGTAATGCCCCCATTGTAACCTTGGTGTTTCTATCAGCTGTTAGTTAATGACAGTCACAAGATATTATTTTTTTTACACAAACACCACACATTAAATACTAAATTAGCACATTGGGATTAATTTGTGAAGGTGACTGTATCAGTACTTTTAATCACAGGTTTACTTTATAATATATAGAGAATATTATATGGCTGTTTCAATATAACGCCCGTATAAAACCTGAGACACCAATATAATTCCAAGAGCTCTGATAATATTTGTTGAGGGCTGATACTGTGTGTGATATTGAAAAAGCCATATGATATTCTATATTCATATTACTGTAAATTCAGAAATTATTGCCTGCATTTATTATTGCGATTTTGTCATTTTAGACTAAATTGCGATTTTAATTTTTGCCATATTAAGAAAAATCCTATTTAATTCATATAAAATAATACAAAATGTGAGTTTAAATTATTGCGATTATGACCCTGTTGCATTTTTCGCAATAATAAAAACATCGCAATAATTTCTGAATTTACAGTATATACCTAAAATGGATGTTTTTCACAGGACACAACGTATTACAGATAACGGGGTTTGATAAAGCCTTTGTAAATATAACTGATATTGATATCATCACAGATGGCTGATGCAGAGCAATTACCATTGATTTTTTCCACATAAAATATTCTTGTATTAACTACAATATAACCGGAGGCTCTATAGAACCTGTGTCGCTCACTTAGGTCTATGTGCATCTTCAACAATGGACACACTTTAACATTGTAGACTAGAATAGAATTCATGTCAAAAATCTATTTCTTATTTACTTTGTATTGCTGATCATTATTTCTGTTTACAGTTTCTCTCTATCTTCTTTAGTTTTTGTACAAACAACAAAAAAGGGTAAACAAATTGTCATTTTAGGGCAATCACTAATATATAGATTCTATATTCTATTTTATCAAAATTTGACTTGTATGTAGATCTTATCTTGTTGATCATTTTTGTTAACTAATGATCTATATATCTTATAAAGTTTTCAAGAATGCCAAAAATTAGTAAAAATTGTCATTTAAAAGCAAGGAACTCCAACAAGTCCACCAACGATTTCAATCATGTTGACTTATTTGTAGATCTTGTCTTGCTTATAATTTTTGCTATTTAAAGTGTCTATCTATTATGGTTTTTTAAGATAACAGGCAAACACAAAAATTTGGTAAAAATCGTCATTAAAAGGCAATAACTCTAATAAGGAGTTGTCTTGCAATATTTTAATATGTAAACATGTAACATCCAAAGTCAATGAACCATGACTGAAGTTTAAGGGCCAAATAATCTCCATTGATTGATATAGGATATATACTAATACTAATACAACTGCATACCAAACATCATTGACTTCATATGTGGTTCACCTGAACTAACCTAATCACAAACTTTTATCATGTTAACTGTGCAAAACATCTAAAGTCAATTAACCATGATTGAGGAGGTGGGCCAAATAATCTCAAAGGTTGAGAATAAGGATAAGTTCTTTATGTCATTAGAAAAGTAACCTGATATTAATTACCACAATATTTTTATTGTAATATTTTACAATAAAAATATTGTGGTAATTAATATCTGGTAACTTTTCTAGTGTGCTTTTATCATAATATTTGGCTGTTCCTATTTGAACTTTTCCTTTTTATTTTGATCCCTAAAGGTTACTGTGGAATAGAAACATGATCACTTAGGTCTTTTTCTGAGCTGTGCCAGATGCACAAGTACACAGCCATGTCTGGTCAGAAAAGGGACTTAAAACCGGTGTTATGTGCAAGTTACAAACCCTTGCAACAACTTTTAGAGTGAACCGTAAAATTTCTGTCCCTATCTAATATGCCCTTATTTGTCATTGGCAGTCCAAATTTCCCCTACATCCTCCAAAACAGAACCTTCCTATTGTATTTATTGTTTATTTGTTCTCGTCCTGATTATACATGAAATACATGTATATTGCACTGGACATTAACACCAGCTACCTAACAACCTTATAAATACTTTGTTACCCCTTTGTCCTTTTCCTATGCATTATTTTTTTTCCTTGACGAAACATGAACATAATTTTACCTAGAGATTAAAACGAGACATTTTTGTATCCTCATTCTAAATGGACGTATACAGTCCAGTCTACAGAGCCTATGTTCAGGAATAAAACAGTTTCCCAAAAATTTTAGGAGTCAAATATTAATCACAACATTTCAAAATGATCAAACTTAAGTAGCTAACTGGACTACCAGTTAAATTTATTTTAGTAGTCCAGCACATATTAAAGGGGCCATGGGCTATTGTGTCCCTGCTAATTTTCATTCCTACATGAGCAGTCTAGGACACATAAATGGGACAATGGGCTATTGTCCCTAACAATTTTCATCCCTATATGAGCCAGAAAATAGTTAACTCTACTCATCTTAAAATATGTAAACCTGTGAATAAATGAACCAGACACATGTCACCTGTACAAACCCTTTCTACCTGTGTTTCAATTCACCTCGTTCTTCCATACCTTCTTTCGACATCCCTGTGGCAAAACATTTTTGTAGTCGACAATACTGGCACCTATTTCTTGTAACTTTATTTATAACACAGTTTTTGTCTTTATGGCAGGTATATTGCATATTTTTCTGAACACTTCTTCTAAAAAAGCCCTAAAAATAAAGAAAGTTGTACATGTTTTAAGTATTTAAAAAAAAGAAAACTAAATATAATGAGAGGTGTACATGTTCAAGTATAAATGGACCTGCTTGCATATAACGTTATAAAGGGGCATAACTCCAGAACAGTAAAAGTGACGCCACCAAAAAGAAGACAGGAAACAGACATTTATTTTTTTAAGCCTCAGGAATATTGTCTTGTAACGTAGATATACTTTTAAATAGACAAAATCAACAATTCCATTTAAAAGCTTTTGACATATTTTTTAATTTTTTTTTCATACTAATAACTATATTTGGTCATTAAATGACTTTTTGAGTTTTTGGAAGAGATTGATCATATTATGGTGGTTAGAACCTTTGGACCACTCATATCCACTAACGCTACTTCGTTAAAGTGTAGTTAGTACCTTATAGATTTATAACATGGACATATAAATATTATAATACGTCCAAATTTACTGGACCAAAACTAAAGGGAAACAGCATTACTAATAATATATGGCCTGTTACAGAACAGTATATACCAAATATCATGTTTATTGATACAAAATATTATTAAATGAACTTATATTATAAACCAGGAAACAAAAGGTGTTAAAAAAGGCATATATGTAACCACACTCGAAAACCACACATTCAGTGTTATTATTTTACACAATGACTGTGCTAATAAACAGCTAATATATTGATATCTATATTATTATTAAAAAAGCTGTGATTGACTAAACCTCATGTGACTTAAAAATTTACAGTACATATATGTACACATATTTTTACTTTATACTTTCAACCTTTAGAGTCAATATCAAAGTAAGATTGTGCCTGTATAAAGAAACAGTCAAACAAATTTAAATAAAATATCTTTATTTAATAACCAAGTTACTGTTCAAATCAAAAGGAAAGCATTGATAAATTAAACAAATCTCTACTCACAAATTAAGTGACCAAAGGTGGTCAATTTTCCAGAAAATATGAGAACATGTAAAACATGCAATATTATTTGTGGTCATTGAAACATGTTTACTTATTCTTGTTATGGTAAATATTTGGTCAATGAACTGATCAATGGCCTTGTGTCTACGAGAAAGAACCCTTTAGGCAGTTCATGTAACTTATGGCTGCCCTTTTTGGCATTTTGTAGAGATCTCACAAGATGACGTATTTAAGGTTCCATGAATAGGATGCATCTAGCATAAGAATTTCTTAAGAACATTAATCTCTCTTTAGCAAGCTACTCCTTTTTTGGAGAATAGAAGATAAGGCAAAAACAAATATATATGTATTTATGTAGTCACCTGTTGAAAAAAAAAAGTTCGCTAGGTTTTTGCAAAAAATTTTCAAATTTATTTTTTGTTTGATCAGCACACAAAGAAATAACCTCATCTAGTTCGAAATCAGATCAGGTATTGCAAAGACCTATATTTCCGATCAGCAACCAAAAACCATAAGTGGAAAATACATAATACAACATGGCCAAAAGAGTAAAGAAGATCAGACAAACAACAGTCGACAATACAAAACACATAACACCAAAGACTTAGCAAAAGTGTAATAACAACTGTCAAATTCCTGACTTGGTACAGACATTTTCTTATGAAAAAAGTGGGTTAATCCTGGTTTTATAGCTAGCTAAACCTCCCACTTGAATGACAGTTGTATGTAGTTTTTTCAGTTACAAAATTGTTTGAGCAACCCAAACAGACATAATTGGCTGATAATGTGTTAATGGAATCCAGCAGCATTAATACGGAGGGTGAACTCTGGTGCTCTGAGAGTTAGTAGTTCCTACTCCAGTAGAGAGACCTGTCTTATTCTGTCCCGTTTAAAAATAACACAGCATTTTAGAATTTTTCTTTTATTTTCTACTATCAGCTACCATATTAATATGTTGGCATGGCAATTTAAAATGCAATTTTTACAAGAGAGTTATTAAGGATAACATATACTCTTTTACTCTTTAAAGTTTTAGCCATGTGAAGCTAAAAATAATACAAGAATGAAAGTTAAATAGACTCTGGGACATTTCCCCTACATAAGTTCCTTAGGTACAGTCAGATCTTCTATGAACTTCAATGGCTCCAGGATACCTAGTCAAAAGGTTCAAAGGTAAAACTGGATGTCAGATGGAGTCTATAAGATATTTGTGTAAATACATCAGGTGAATCACCCCTATAACAGCCACCAGCATGTCATAAATTAAAGAGTTGTATCAATATGTATATATATAAACTAGTTCAGCTATTTTTGTATGATGAAAAGTCATGGGTCTCTCCATACAACACATTAGATTTATTGTAGAGGAAAAAATTACAGTGACTTTCTGTGAATTAAGAAATTTTTGCTTGTTTTTTTATTATTACGAAAATTGACTGGATAGGTGCAGCAAAAATATTTACTTTGACCCTTTGTTAAAAATATAAAAATTTCAAAAATCTTGAACCACACTTTTTATCAGAAAAATTTCATTGGATATTTAGAAGTTTGACAAATGCTAATTTTGATCATTGAGAAGCTTTATATTTCCTTGACAAAAGAACGTGATTAAAATTTTCAGCTAATTTTTACAGAGTTATCTCCCTGTAGTGTTATGTACCACCTTAATCTCATATGTTTGTTCATTGTTCAACAATCGCAATAAAAAGTGTACACAAAAAACTTCATAATTTACACCACTGCACCTGGATTAATTTATTTCAATGAATTGTGATAAAATCTTATCATCTTGGATATTTTATTTTGTGGTTTTGTCAAATTTTGCAGACAAACCTATAGTAAATTTGTACTTTATTTTTGTGGTTTACCTATTTACAGGAAATCCATGAAAATTGGTATGCCAGGAAAAATAATGAATATACAGTATTTGGATTGGATATATATACATGTAGTTTCTGCACAAATGAGTGAAGAATATTCATTGGTATATGTACATGTACTAGTTAAATCTGCTATAGAGTCACCTCTATTAAGTGAGAATCTGTTTTTTCGGGTCCCTCTTTTCTTGTCTGTTTCCGGTTTGTGCAATACTTATGTACTTTGAACCTCAATTCAAAGGTCACCACGGTCAGTTTTATCTGGTTCTGAGGGTGACCTTTATATATACATATACTGTACATTGTAACTATACAAACCTTGCATCCTTCACAGGAACTAACTCCATAATGATAGCCTGATGACTTATCACTGCATACAACACATGGCTTGTAGATTCTGGGTGGGGGAGGAGGTGATGGGGACATGCTTGGGTCGGACATGGTCGCTGGACTCTGCATCTCATACATTCCCTGAGTGTCAAACATTGGACCTGAAATTAAACTTAAAATTGAGGCAACACCACATTTATTTATTCATTGTCCTCTATTGCTTTTAAAGATGAAGCTTCAATAGCATGATTCTTTGGCAATATATTTCATGAAAACAATATTCAATTAATTCAACTAAGTGCCAAAATATACATAAATCATATGAAATCATAGATCATTATTATTTGTTGGATGTCAATATTTGTTGATTTCCACAAATTTAAATGTTCAATGAGATACAAATTTGCTATAGGCTAAAATGCAAACTTTGGCAAAACCACTTAATTAAATATTCACGAAAATAAAATTTTTCCTCGATCCACAAATCTCGTTATTTCAAAGTTAATGTATTTGAATTTGTTTCTAACAAATGACATAAACACATTCTGTGCTGAAAACTGCTGATTCCCATTCTGTGATGTTACAAAGATTTTTTTATTTCCATCCATCCACAGTGTGAGTAAGGAAAACTTCTACATATTCTGACTTTAAATTCAAGTGGACAGGTTAAAATGACAAAACCCACCGAGTCTTCACTTAAAAACCTTCTGATTTACAGTTACAAGCCTACACATCAATCTTTCATAAAATTTCTTTGAATATATTTGACTTATGAAGACTCTTTTGAGGGAAAATGTTACTGGCATCTGACCAGACATCATTTTTAATAGCATAGGTCATAGGGTTTGTGGTTAATCGTATAAACTGTCCACCAAAGCTTCAATATATTTGTACACATGTATATCCTTCTAAATTTTAATTATATGTTTGGTACTCACTTTTGAGTTGCTGGTTGCTAGGTAACATGTAACCAGACTTTTGAGCAAATAAATAATGTTCATAAGCTGAGTGAGATCCGACATAGCTGCCATTCTGAGGTTCTAAGCTGTATGGTGAGTGATCTGCATTGATGGGTGCTGAAATGAAAACAAGATGTATCACTTAAGAGCTCAGGTAAGACTACAGGTATGTCTTTAGAAATGTTAGTCTTTTACTAGACTCCAAAGCACTTAAACACTGGGAAAACCACCTGTTTAATCCAATTTTCATTCAGTTTGTAAATCAGTATCAATTCTGAATAAAGTTACCACAGAGGGAACACAACACAGTTTTGTACACAAATACGATCGGAAATCCATTTTATGATATCTAAACGTTTAGATACGAAACGAAAAATATCGTGCGCCACACTGGCGCATACATTTGCCACTCTTTGCGCCATTTCTGTTCCATATGCGCAAATGGCGCATGGCGCTCGACCTTCCTAATCACTGGGGTAAAACTTAATGCCCCCTCCGCTACGGTGGGGTATAAATATTTATCTCTTTTTAAAATAAATTCTTTATGTTAATGAACACTCAAAAAAACTAATGTCAACATAAACTGCACTGGTCATAGAATATTTTTTTTTTGTGTGATATCGTTGACAAACAGAGGCAGATTTAGTGGGGGCAGGGGGCCCTGGGCCCCTCTTATGGACCTACATATATGATAAATGCATCTATTTTTTGCAAGCATCAGTCCAAACGTTGGCTAACTAGGGCGCCCCCCTTTTTTTTAAATCCTGGATACGCACAGGACAAAGGAGGAAGAACATGTATGATTAGACCCATCATTTGTAAAATTAATAGACGCATTCAAGCCTTTAAAGAAAAAATATGCTTATTTCATTGATAAATGACCAGTTAAGGTAATCTTGACACATTAGTGTAGAAAGGTCATGTGTGATATTAATTGTATGGGTTATAAAACATGTCAAAATTAACATACACAATGTACTGTAGAGTGTATCAATGTTTGTATTTCAAGGATAGAAGTAAACCACAAATTAAATTCAAGAAGAACAAACTTTTTGTAGTATTTAATGCAAATTAAAATTTGGCAAAACCATGAAATAAATTATCCACAAAAATTGTCCCTCAATCCACGAAAAATGGTATCGAGGAAAATAAATGAATCCAAAGTGTTCAACCTAAAATAGCCATTATTTATCTAGTTTTCAACCTAAAATAGCCATTATTTATCTAGTTTTCAACTTAAATAGCCATTATTTATCTAGTTTTTAACTTAAATAGCCATTATTTATCTAGTTTTCAACCTAAAATAGCCATTATTTATCTAGTTTTTAACTTAAATAGCCATTATTTATCTAGTTTTTAACTTAAATAGCCATTATTTATCTAGTTTTCAACCTAAAATAGCCATTATTTATCTAGTTTTCAACCTAAAATAGCCATTATTTAACTAGTTTTTAACTTAAATAGCCATTATTTATCTAGTTTTCAACCTAAAATGGCCATTATTTATCTAGTTTTCAACCTAAAATAGCCATTATTTAACTAGTTTTTAACTTAAATAGCCATTATTTATCTAGTTTTTAACTTAAATAGCCATTATTTATCTAGTTTTCAACCTAAATAGCCATTATTTATCTAGTTTTTAACTTAAATAGCCATTATTTATCTAGTTTTTAACTTAAATAGCCATTATTTATCTAGTTTTCAACCTAAATAGCCATTATTTATCTAGTTTTTAACTTTAATAGCCATTATTTATCTAGTTTTTAACTTAAATAGCCATTATTTATCTAGTTTTTAACTTAAATAGCCATTATTAACTAGATTTTAGACAAAACAGATACCAGTCAAGGCCTTACTCAAAAAGATATTTTACAGACATTAACATCTTGTATCATTTTTATAAAATAAATTTTGCTATATATATATATATGAGATGAAGACTTAAGGAAAGGCCTTGTTATAGAAAAAAGACAAAAATCAAAATACAAACATTGATAATAAAATACCAGATTGAGGTCTTGCTTACTAGACTAACGCAGATCTATACATTCCTGTACATGTACATTCAGTCTGGCTATGACCTTTCAATCTTTCATCCCTAATTTTCGCAAAATTGATTATGAACCTTTACTCTTTTGAACATTTGAAATAAATATTCACATTACAAAAACTTGGCAAGTTGGGGACTATTGAGGTCTTCAAATAACTATTCCTTTATTTACTTTCGACTAATAAACCTTTAGCTGGTTGGGACCAAAATGTATTTTAATAACCGGTTTGAAATATACAAATGTACATGAAAAAAAAATGTACATGTTATAACCATTTAGGCATTATTGTATTAATGTAAATTTACAATGCAAAAAATTCAAAGTAATTTATCATTTCAAATGTTTTAATGTGTCTTTAAAAATATAACATATCTCATCTTCTGAGAAGTGGCCCATCAACTTATTTTAAAATTTGATCGATCATACATGTACATGTATGAGAAATGTATGTATGTAGATTCGTTCATTATTCGTAGCATTCCTCGAGAGAGCTCTTAGAGGATACATTGGAATCATTCACTTCCTATCAGGATTAATTGAGATGTGTCACTGTCACTACATGTAACTTAACCTTCCACCAAGGGGATGTAATAATGACAATGACAAGTCTGTTATTACGGTAGAGGAAGTTGAAGTATTCAGAGAGAACCACCAGGCTTCTTGGTAAAACAGACAAACCCAAGAGATATAGATCTGCAAATTGATCTCATGAACAAAGTTGGGGTCCACTTTGACCAAACCAGGCCTCCAAAGTAGCATTTCTTGTTTAATCTTTATACCAGATATTTGTGAGGTAGGATGAAAATCACCCTTCCAATGTACTGGAATTTCAAGAGCCCAGTCAAGATAAATAATGGGACCTTCAGCATTGGAGTCGTCTTAATAGATACATGTAGGCAACAAATTCACATCAGAAAATTTCTGATATACTTTGACTATTATCCCATTTGCTATATATTACTATAAAACAGGTTAAGGAAGATCCTCATAAATGGGTACTATCCCCATTTATGGATTATATATTTCCAAAATCAGATATCAACTTCATTTACAGTGATAAAAAATAAAATTTTATATAGTTTTTCATAATGGTTGTCTTGGCACAAATATTCATATTTATAAATGTACTATAAATGATAACATTTTCCCCTTAAGACCATAGTTTAATTGAGACCTGAATACAAAGTCAAAGATAATGGTTCCCAAAAATCCTACGTTCTGAAGGCTATGTATGTATGTACACAAATTCCTCCTTTATGCAAAGCACCCCTCGAGAGCTGTGAACCCAACATTAAGTGAGTGTTAGGACACCAGGAAGTCTGTTGTATTATGGTGCAGGAAGCCAAAGTACTCAGAGAGAACCACCAGGCCCCTTGGCAGAAACAGACAAACCAAAGCTATATATCTACAGATTGATCTCCAGGCCAAAGCCAGGGGCCACTTTGACCAACAGAGGCCCCCAAAGTACCCATTCTAGTTTTAACTCCCGTCTAGGTAATAGAGAATTGTTAGGGTGTAAATTACCCTTCCAATAAATGTACAGAAATTTTCAGCGCCCTGAGTTAGGATTGAACCCTGGAAAAAATGTCATTTTGTCATTTACCTGAACGGTACCTCATCAAATGACCGATTAACACCGTTATTATCAGAATAACACTTGTAATGACCGAATAACACTTGAAATTCTAATATTAACACATATTGGTGACATTTAAACATTTTATTTTATAACTTTAAATTTTTTTTTTAAAAATGATTTACAGAAAGCAGGTAAGTTCATAAAGATTATCACCAATATGTGCTAATAAGGGGATGAAAAATCAATAAAATTAAAAAAAAAAAATCGGGAAAAATTCCCGAAATTTTCATTCTACTAATGAACTCAAAATCATTAACTTTTTTATTTTCAGACTTTTTTGTTTACCCGCATTTGCGCAGAAATCTACTTCCTTTTTCTGGTCTCATTTGAATGAGTCTTTGAGTAAAATATACATTTATCAGGCTAGTAAAATGTAGGAAGGAACGCAATATACCAATTTTATTTTAAAAAATTCCTTGAATGGCTTATTATGAAAAACCGTTACCTGATGATAGCGTTTCTTTGTTTACAATGAATATGACGTCATAACATAAATAATAATGGCACAACTAACAACAGAACCGAAATCTGAGACGTTACGGTATTTCCGTTTCTTTTTTAACAGATTTTGAAGTTCAAATATGTTTGAATTAAAAAAAAATTCATACAGACTTCGTCCCCTTTCACAGGTAATGCCTGCCTCATATTATTAAAATTTCAAGTGTTATTTGGTCATTACAAGTGTTATTTGGATAATAACGGTGTTATTCGGTCATTCGTGTTACCCTTTACCTGAATGTTTACATCATGACAGCAAATATCCAGAAATCCAAAGTTGATATTTTTATTACTGGAAATTGGGACCTGATTTGGTGTATAATACCCATAAATAGGGATACACCCATTAATGAAGATCTCCCCCCGGCCCTACCTAATGTAGGATACTTGATTTTTCCTTTATTTTGTACTTTCCATAGATTTTAAAATTAGACTGTTAGAATTTAAATTCACTAAACAGTAAAAATACTGCGCAGATAAAAGATTAATTAAACGGAAAATAATCTTTGAATATTTTTTCAGCTAATACAAAAATTCACGAAATTGTAAACATCAGAAGAGATTTTCCAAATGTCATTTTCGACATCATCTATACAAGAAATTAAAGATTGTTTCAACAGAAACTAAGACTAAAATGATTTAATAACAATCATTTAAAACCTCCGTGGATTCTTACAGTTTTCTTTCGACTTCTCTTCATGCTTTTCCATGTTTTTTTGCGTCCACAAAGTATCACAACCATCACTTCTTGTCGGCCATTGTTTATCTCGGAACAGTAACAGGGGAGGTAATCTTATAAATCTGGGAAATCAAAGCGCTGAAAGTACTATTTGATTACCTTACCGTAGCTATCGCACTGCATTCTTATATTGAGGAAGAACAAAAATTGTTATAAAAATTACTTATAGAAATCTGTTTATAAGACTGGACATTTATATAAGAAAATATTTTGTACAATACATATAACAAAATCACAACTTATTTTTTGAACATATCTGAACTTATCTATGTATCAAGATCAATTCTAAAGTTCATTTTCTTGTCAAAATTATTGTGTTTAGCAGTTTATATTTCACAACCTCATCATCTCACCGATTTAGAGACAAGTCCATTACCACATTGCAACACTATTTCTTTGCTGGTTAATAATGTTGAGGAATTATTTTATTATCCATTAAAATATTTACACAAATTTCCAGATTTTTATTTTAACTTAATTTTTTTCAATATTATTGCTTTAGGATTACTGTCTCATTGATGTGTAATGTACCCCACTCTTTTTTAATCATATCTAATTGATGTTTCCTCTTATTTAAAATTTAAAATACGGGTTATAAAAGATTGAAAAAAGTGAAATTAATAAAGGAGAAAAATAATTACAAGGACAAAATTATTCACTGAAAATATGTTCTTTTAGATTATTTTTTTATGTTTCATTTTAATTATCCTTGATAAAAATGGATCTTGGTCAAAAGGGTTACAATTCCTATGGTTTCTAATTTTAAACAAGACACACAAATAGTACAACACTATATGTAGTATAAGATATTCTGTATAGGGAGCATCTAGTAAAGAATAGTAATGAGTCCAAGTCATCTCAAGTCTATACAAATTGTGACCGAGTGGCCAGTGCTATAAAATAAATTTATATACCTATATGGAGTTAATTCCTTTATTTCCTTTCAGAATGACAGGTCATTTTTTTTAAGAATCAACCTGGACGATACCAAGTTTCAATGAAATGTGCTTCAAGGCATAAAATAGCCAAGGTCATTATTTACCCTGATTAACTTGCAAACTACTGAGTACTTAAACCTTTAATTCATGTGTTTTCGCCAATTGGGGTTTTACTGTACAATTTTCCATCTTGAACATTTTTTTTTAGTTTAAGCTGAAATAAATACCATTTACTCTATTAAATGACAAAATAGTCCTATTTTCTATAGGGAAAAAGTCACGTTTTTTAAAAGAGGAGGGCGGCCCCGGGGTATAATATGTGATCCTGATTCTCAATTTTTGAAGAAAAAAGCATATTGCCCGGCATAAGATAGAAAACAATTATTCTGAAAAAGATTGCTAAAAAATGTTGAACAAAATAATCAGCTTTCCGTGATAAAAATTTCATTAAACAAGAAAAAAAAATATAGCACCACCCTCTGTAAATAGGTTTTGTGATAAATTACTTTCAAGGTGACTTGTGTTTTCATACATCTTAACTTCATTTGCTTCCTACTTCATGCAATTACTGTTACATTTATATTGCAACTGGACAGTGATTTCTAATGTTTATATCTAGAGTAATAAGTGAGTTGTTTTTCACATGAAAAATGAGCCGTAGGGCGTGATTATACCTAAACGCTTAAGAAAAGAATATCCCACTTCAATGTGATTGATATTTGTCACTGGACGTTAAGCAACCAACAATCAATCAATCAATCAATGTGATCAGTAAAATAGGAATCAATTTTTAAAAATATTTGCAGAAAATAATATTTTTTGACGGTATATAAGTCAGATAATGCATATTTTAAGGTTTTTCTTGTCATATAGCACACCTCGTGGTATCAGGATTGCCCAAAGAAAGACCTCCCTATGGTCGGTCTTTCGTTTGATCAATCCTGACACCCCTCGGTGTGTTATACGACAAGAAAAACCTTAAAATATGCATTATCTATAACAGAATATACATTTACAGACTACAGAGAGATATTTCATAGTGAATCACACACAACCACAAGCATTCACTAAAAAATTTTTTTTACAGGTTATTGATGTGTAAACTGGGTTGCTGACTCGCAGTTTGTACATCAATAACCTCAGAAAAAAAGTATTAATCCTCATAATTTCCAACACAAACTTTAGTCATTTTTTCTTTCAATTTCAACTTTCAAATGGAACCAAACTATTCCATTTATGTTTAAGACACATGATGATGTCACATGCAAAATGACATAGTATTCACAAAGGTACGAAGCAATTTTGGTAACATGGTTCATGGAAGTGTAAACCAAAGAATTAAATTTAAAAAAAACAATCACATTCAAACATTTGTAGATATGCAAATCATATAGAGTTCTTGTGAAATCACCTTCAAAAGATATTTTTAACTCAATCACCTTTGTTGGTGTGTGCTGTAGGTTTTAAACATTGGTGTACAAAGAAAAATAATAAAATCATTCTTATTGCATGTAACAAGAAAATCATGTCTAAATTATTAGAATATGAAGTTTTGCATTCAATTAAGTGACCACATGCAATATACACTGTACAGACTCCAAAGGGTTGTGTGTCACATTCGAAATTTAGCACTCTCCCGAACTCACGATTTTTTTCGTGCAAGATGTTTGCAATTTCTATTTCACAGGTTTCTGTGGTTGAAACTCATTATTCAATATGTTTTATGCAAATTGGTGAAAAGCAGTGTGCCAGCTTTTTCAAATTTGTCCATTCAACATGAAATGGCCTTTTCATTTCCCTTTTATCCATGCAACTCGGTGCTTTGCTTTTGCGCCAAATGGCATTTCATTTGTGCCAAAATATTCTTTCATTTGCACCTCAAACCATATTTTATTTGTGCCAAAAATAAAACATTTCATTTGCGCCAATAATACAGGTAAATAATGCGAAATAGTAGATATATTCAAAATAGACTTTTAATTAAAACTTTAAAAAACAGTTTTTGTTTGCATAGTAAAACATATTCATCAGACATCAGTCATCATAAAACCATACACTTTAAGTCTATTCTATGCACTTTAATTTACACTGCAGTAAAACTAAAAAAGGGAAAAACAGAGAAAAGACCAACAACACTTCACAAAACACAACATAGAAAACTTAAGTTTTTTAATTGTTTTGTTGTCCACATCTGTTATGATTCTAGCTTTGCAAGTTTTTTTGGTATATCTAAATGACTTGTCTCAATTTTTCAGAACATTAGATAACCTATATTGTGCGTCATATAAAATTACAGACTTTCCTCCTTTTGTCTCCGAATTGACAATGTCCATCTTGACACCTCAAACATGTGAAAACTATATAACCTAAGTGACTTTCAGTTTTGTATTAGAAATGAGTATGAACTGACTTAATTACCCAGGGGGAGTACTCTAAAAATATTCTTATTCACAATATAGCAATGAATATTTAAACTATTCTGGTATATATGTTACCTGTGAAATGGTGCAAATGTAGTTTTTATTTTTTTGCGCACAAATGAAAGATTGGATTTTACAAAAGTTGGCACAAATGCAATGCACCCATTCAACTACCCCCTCTCCTAAACAACTCTTAAATGTCAACAGTTCCTTCAGTTTGCTTGGAATTGAAAAACTTATTTTCTTACTTGCATAATCTTCAAAAGGGAAACTGCTAATACATGATTCTAACGTCTGCTGGGAACATTGTGAATGTTCAGCTGTCAAAAACAAATCGTCAAATTCCATAATGACGCAAGACCAATTTATTGAAACATTTTTAATCTGTCTTGGCTATATTTTTTGTACAACTGGCATTCAACTTGCCTTCACATTTGAAAAATTTTGTTCAATATCCATGATTAAATCCAAGTGCTGTAGATAATTACGCAAGAATATTCATAATCCAACCAGGAAGTACGTTTGATATATCAAAAGTTTGATGGCATTTTCGTCACCCAAACATTAAATAATGAATATGTTGAGATTTTCAGATCATTATTTTTTCCACCACATTTTAAAAATATATAATTTTGATAACAATTTTATCCTACGCACAAATGTCACTGTTCTTGGATATCTTTCAGCTGTGATGGAAACATAAGTAATATTTCACACACAAGTAAAAATAAATCCCGTTTTTGAAATGATGAATATAAGAGATTTTTTCACAAATATCTTCACAAAAAATTTAGATAGAATTCAGATATCTAATCTCTTTCTGAAATTAATTAAAATCCAAATAAAACTGAATAAACATGTACATTTATATGGAAAAACAGCACTACACAATTAAAAGTCCAAAAAAAAATAACATTATGGAAAAAAAAACAGTAGAGAAAACTTTATTTTTTTTTATCTCATACTGACTGGTCAGCTACTAGGTGGAAGTCAAAGTGACCTATACAGATATAAATATATATATATCTATTTATGAGACTGTTATGCACTGAGTTTATAGTTGGGAAATAATAATTATAAAAAAGGATTTGTGACATATTCACACATTTACATACAAAAATAAACTAAATTCAAACACTGCTTTCTCAAAAATTTAATTAAAATATCTTTTAGATTATCAAATATGGAAAAGAATATTTTATTTTTATAAATACCCCTTCCCCTGTCCCCATCCAAAAATGACCATAAGTAATTTATGCCCTTTAGGTACAATGTAACATTTAGAATTATTACACAAATCTCAGTAATTGGCAGCAATTGAGTGGTCACGCTTGACTAATATTATTAGTTGTTTCCCTTTATTACTGTGTGAATTTACATGTAAATGTGACAAGTAATATTACATGTATTTATACAATACTTAAGCCAAAGTCAATACACAAATGAATATATATAGTAAATTATGTACATGATTTAAACCTTGTCTAAGTCTGGGTCCTAATACATGTTATATTACTTTATGTCCAGTCTGGGTTGAAAATAATTACATAAATAAAACTTTTTTACTTATATATTATAAATAAAATATTGAAATACTACAAATGCAAAAAACTGTATAAAATTTATTTCCTGTTTTCCTACTACAAGCCAATTATAAATTTGAGGTCCGAGATTTTACCCTAACTGACATC